GGAAACCCTGTACAGGGTCGCTATGGGTCGGAACCGACTCGACGGCACTTAACAACAACAACAACATTAGGAGCCCTGGTGGCACAGTGGGTAAGTGATGAGCTGCTATCTGAGAGGCTGGCAGGCAGTTCGAACCCACTAGCTGCTTCATGGGAAAAAGATGTGACAGTCTGCTTATATAAATATTCCAGCTCTGGAAACTCTCTAAGGATAGCTATGAGTGAGAAAGGATTCGACAGCCATAAGTAACTATCAATTTCACAATGAGGTTTTTAAAAGAAAATCCGCAGTGTATCTTGAGAGTGCTGCTTCTTTCATTTTGTTTGTGACAATTTACACTGAGTTTTAAATATTAACCACAAACAGACAAATGAATGAAAAGAAAGGAAACTTGTTATAGCAAAATAATTTTATTTTATTTTTTTTAATTTAAGAAAATTAACTGCATAGAGGAGAGCCGATACCTTGCATCCGAGTTCCAGGTCATGGTCCCAATATCCATCCTCACATTCTTCACATTTAAAGCCCTGAGTGTGAGGAGGGCAGATACACTCTCCAGATTCGGGATCACAACTATTCAGAGTGTGAGCACAGTCACAGGCTGAAATAAAGACAAATGGGTTTGTAACAACACAACAGAAGGTCAGTGAAAAGTCAAGACTTGATGGTAACGGTTATTTCCATTTTATTTATAATTTAAACCATTCTTCTAGAGACTACCACAAACCTATCAAATTGGTTAAAATTGAGCAAATAGATTAATGAAAAGGGCCACTCTGTGTCTCATGGAAGTTGTTCTTCCACATCAGGAGAGACTGCTGGGACAGAAGGAATGGGGATAGCCTGAGGAAGATTGGGGATGACTTCATTATATGAAACGAGGCGATAGAACTAATATTTACTGTATAATTACTGTGTGTCAAATGCCATGATAAGAACTTTATATACAATCTTGACATAATTCTTTGAAGCAGATCTCGATCATCACCTTCGTTTTACAGATGAAGAAACTAAGGCTAAACAATGACAAGTAGTCAAACTAAGCTCACACAATTAGTACGTGTCAGAGCCATTATCTCAGGAATAGAACAGGAAACGGAAGAAAAATATATAAAATCCTACATTTAGAGAAGAAAAGAGAAAAATTAAAGGAACTTAAAAGAATTTAGACAGAAGTCAAAGGAAGTCAAAGTTTGAGAATTATCATAAAGTCTTAAATAACGAATTCAAAGGCTTACGTGTGCAACCACCATCCTGGTATGCGTAAAAGCCACGTGCACACCTGTCGCACCTTTCCCCAGCAACTCCAGGGACACAGTGACATTGGCCTTCATCTGTGCAGTCATCCGAAAGGGACCCCGATGTGCTGCAGTTACAGGGCAGGCAGCCAAGCCCTGTGCTCCACCCATAATATCCATTCTGTTTCACAAAACAGGAAGAACCATGGAGGTCAAAAGGAGTTTCAGTATGCAAGGAACACATGCTAGAATGTTTTCTAAATCAAACATGGGATACTCCACAGAATCATGACGTGTTTACAATACAGTTCACTCCTTTGTAAAGATAATAACTATTCTGTACACAGGAAAACCAGCTTTCACCAACCACGTTCAGATAATTCTTGCTTTTGGACAATCAGGAATTCAACTTAATTTAAATCCACGTTAAGGTATCAATTATAAGCATCCTTGACCAAGACTTGGGTTTGAGGAGCTGATCAGGAAGTGTCTTACCAAGCAGTGGTCACATTGCTGCCCAGTCACATGTGCCTTGCAATCACAGAGTCCAGTCTCCTGATGACAGTTATGAGAGCGGGAACCTGTTTCATGGCATTCACAAGCTAACACAGGTTAAAAGACAGACATGTAAGTATTTATTTAAATGGGCGAGGTTACAGTAAAATCTTTGTAATCCCCAAAGGAAAAAATGTAAAAATTCATGTTTTGAATTATAAAATAAAAGTTATTTTAAAATAAATTTCATATTTTCATAGAGACTAAGCAGGACAAAAGGTTAGTTTGAGCTGCAAAGTCAGCAGTTCAAACCTACAAGCTGCTCCTTGTAAACCCTACACAGGATCACTATGAGTCAGAACTGACTCGACAGCACTTAACAACAACAAGCCCAAGTAGGATTATGGTAAGAAACCAGTACAGAGAAAAAATTTTGAAGCTATTAAAGATAACCAACTAGCAAACTAATTAGGCCAAATTCATAAATCCCTTGAAACTTGAAAAATATATCAATGTATATAAAAAACTCTTCATAAAAAAACATGGTATCATTATTTCAAAATTAACATAACCATTTGTTTTCAATCCAATTATATAGAAAATTAAAAGTTTAAAACTGTTTGGATATAATCTTGGTAATATGCATATCAATATTACACTTCAGAACTTAATGACAAATATTCACCTGTTCTATGTCATAAGTCATTTGTATTTCCAATAAATTACTCTTCAGGACACATGGTTTGGTTTTACCTGTATTTACAACATCAGTGTTTGAAATGACCAATGCCTCAGCTTTTCAAGTCATGTAATTCAATGAGCCCAAGAAATGTTTCATTGATACTTGACAGTACAACCATTGTTATACAAGTTTGCTCAAATAGTTCATATGTTCATTGACAAAATATCGTAGGTACATATATTACTTATGAACTACTGGACTCAGAATATGTACAATTTTTGTCATAAGGTACAACAATGCAAGAAAGGAAAAGAACAAACTTCAGAAATAATCTCAATCTAAAACTACAACAATATGTATGCCACATGATGTCTTCACAAGGTGGTGAAGTGTGGAAGCTGGAAGGCTGGTGGTCAGAAGAGAGGTCTGAGATTCCTGCTTCCTTAACCAACTACAGCCATCTTCTCAGGCATGACGGGATAAGTGTTAACAATTCCTGCACAAGTCTGGAAAAAGCTGTGGACCCCACCCACTACTTCATTCAGGATTTACTCCTCCCATTCCAATAGTTCTGGTGTGGCACTGTGGATTAATGCACCAGACTGCAAAGCCATTTGAACTACAAGCTCGGTGGTTCAAGCTCACCAGTCACTCCTTGGGAACCCTATGCAGGGTCGCTATGGGTCAGAACCGACTTGACAGCACTTCACAACAACAACAACATTCCAATCACCAAAATATGACCTTGAACATATTCTGCCTGAATTTAGAGACCATCTCAAGAGGAGATTTGATGCATTAGACATTACCAACTGAAAACCAGATGAGTGGTAGGTCAACATTAAGAACATCATACATGAAGAAAGCAAAAGGTAATTTAAAAAACAGGAAAGAAAGAAAACACCAAAATGGATGACAGAAAAAACTCTGAAACTTGCTCTTGTGCATAGAGCAGCTAAAGCAACTGGAAGAGATGAGGAAGTTAAAGAGCTGAGCAGAAAATTTCGAAGGGCAACTAAACAAAGCAAGGTAGTATAATGATCTGTACAAAGACCTGGAGTTTGAAAGCCAAAGGGAAGCTTGGCATTTCTCCAACTGAAAGAAAAGAAGAAAACAAAATCAAGCCTCTACTTGGATTCTATGGGCAAAATATTGAAGAATGCAGAAAGCATCAAAAGAATATGGAGTGAAAATACAAAGTTGCTGTACCAAAAAATGGTCGATGTTCAATGATTTCAAAAGGTAGCATATGATCAAGAATTGTTGGTATTGAAGGAAGAAGTCCAAGTTGCGAAGGCATTTGTGAAAACCAAGTCTCCAGGAATTGATGAAAAACCAACAGAAATGTTTCAACAAACTGATGCAGCACTGGATTAAATCACTTGGCTATGCCAAGAAATTTGGAAGACAGCTAGCTACCTAGTCAAATTATTGGAAGAGATCCATATTTGTGCCCATTCCAAAGAAAGATGACCTAACAGAATGTGAAAATCATAGAACAATATCATTAATATCACATACAAGTAAAATTTTGCTGATGATAATTAAAAGAAACAGTCGCAGTAGTAAATGGACAGGATGTAGTCGATTCAGAAAGAACATGGAACAAGGGATATAACTGCTGACATCAGATGGATCTTGGATGAAAGTAGAGAATAACAGAGAAATGTTTACTAGTACTTTATTGACAATGGAAAGACATTTGACTGTGTAAATCATAACAAGCTATGGATAACATTGCAAAGAATTAGTATTCCAGAACAATTAATTATGTTTATGAAGAACCTGTACATAGACCAAGAGACAATCATTTGAAGAGAAGGAGGGGGTAATAAATGGTTTAAAATTAGGAAAGGTGTGTGACAGTGTTGTATTATATCATCATACTTATTCAATCTGTATGCTGAGCAAATCATCCAAGAACTGGATTGTATGAAGAAGAACGTGATATCAGGATTGGAGAAAGACTCAGTAACAACCTGTGATATGCAGATGATACAACCTTGCTTGCTGGAAGCAAAGATGATTTAAAATACTAACTGATGAAGATCAAAGACCACAGCCTTCAGTATGGATTGCACCTCAAGGTTAAGAAAACAGAAATCCTCACAGCTGGACCAATGGACAGCATTATGATAAATGGAGAAAAGATTAAAGTTTTCATAGACTTTATTTTGCTTGGATCCACAATCAAGACTCGTGGAAACAGAGTGAAGAAATCAAATGATGTATTGCATTAGGCAAATCTGTTGTAAAAGACCTCTTGTTTTTGTGTTCTAGGGCAAATATATCCATTTGAGGACTAAGATTTGTCTGGCCCAGGCTATGGTATCTTCAATATGCATGAATAAGGGAGACGGTACAAGAATCAATGCTTTATCCCACAGTGCCACACCAGGACTTCTAGTTATCATTTATTTTTTTGTCAGAACTTTACGTTTGTTATCCCATTGTCTTCTCAGAGAGACCATTACATCATTTTATGATAAGGAAATAGTAGTTCATTGTTGTTAAGTGTGATGGAGTCAGTTCCAACTCATAGTGACCCTGTATAGGGTTTCTAAGGAGGGACTGGTGAGTTTGAACCACTGTTATGGTTCAAACCAACCTTGCGGTTTTGTGCTTATCCTACAGCACCACTCCAGGATTCCTATAAGCAGTTCATGTTGTTGTTGTTGTTGTTAAGTGCCGTTGTGTCGGTTCCGACCCATAGCGACCCTGTACAAGGTTTTCAAGGGTATAAATCTTTAAGGGAGTAGAAAGCCTCATCTTTCTCCCACGGAGCGGCTGGTAGTTTCAAACCGCTGACCTTAAGGTTCGCAGCCCGATTCATAACCACTACACTACCAGATGTTAGTAAATGTCTGTCATAGAGCTGGCTAGTGCGGACCCTGAAATCAAAACCACAGGAATCAGACTCCAAAGCCTAGGATTCACGTATGTGTTTTACTCACTACACCATAATTTTTCAACTACCTATCACAATACTGTGCATGGAAATAACAGACCTTTAATAAACTATGAATGAATGGCAGAATCAACAAGCTTTGCAATAAAGATCAAAGGAAATGGTATGAAAATTGTGAAAGCATCCTGTAAACTTTGAAGCATTACACACGGATTGCTGTTGTTTTTAAATGACATGGAGTCAGTTCTGACTCATTATAACACTGCATAGGGTTTCCAAGGAGCAGCTGGTGGGCTTGAACTCATTAGCTATTGTTAACTATTACCTTATGGTAACCAACTGGTGGCTCCTTACAATAAGCACTGGAGTGCAAGCCAGAAGGTCTGTGGCTTGAGCCCACCAGTTGCTCCAAGGAAGAAGATGATGCTTTAGGAAGAAGATGATGCTTTAGGCTCCTTAGAAGATTTAAAGTCTCAGAAACCCTATATAGGGTCGCTATGTGCTGGAACAGACTTGATGGCACTTAATAACAACAACAACAACAAAAAAAACAACCAACAAGCAAAAATACTGCTAATCAGGTTGATTGTCTTGGCACTGTAAAGAATTTTCAATCTCTTAATATGTTTCTTTGAAAATGTTTTTTTCCCCCTGTATTACTAGCATCTTCTTGTGTTTCCATGTAGTAATATCATAGTAGGGTTTGAGAATTTATATGAAATGATAACAATTTAGTTTTCTCAAATATATGAAATCATAGAATATAAGTGCTTATAACTGGCACTTTTATTCTTTCACTCCTTAAAGAACAACACAAAAATCTGAGGGCTAATGTTTCAACTCATACTGAGCCTGTTTAGGGTTTTTGAGGCTGTGTATCTTAGCAGGAGCAGAACGTCTCATATTTATCCCTCTAAGCAGTTGATTTTTTTTTTAGTGTTTTATTTTGAATTATATGATAGTTTACATGGGAGAACATTCGTTTTATATTCATTCTATTGAACATCCTATCATTGCCATGGTTACAATCCCCTCCATGCATCATCAACTAACCAAAGGGTATACCCTGCAAGCCTGCCTCCTACACTATCCACCCCTGCAGTCTTCAGCACACAGTCGCTCTTCCTCTCTGGATCTAAAGTCCCCAGCTTAAGCAGTTGATTTTTGACAAAGGAGTCAAGAACCCTAATGAGGAAAGAAGAATTTTTTCAATAAATGGTGCTGGGACAACTGGATCTTCACATGTAAAGTTGGACCTACACCTCACACTACATATGATCATTAACACAAAATAAACCCGTGAGCTAAATGTAAAAGGGAACACAGTGACTCTTTAGGATAAGCAATGGACTGTAAACCACAAAATCAGTGGCTCGAGTCTACCAGTAGCTCTGCAGGAAAAAGATGAGACTTTCTGCTCCCGCAAAAAATTTACAGCCTCTGAAATCCTATACAGGATCACTATGAGTCAGAAAACACGTGACAGCACCGAACACAATAGCATAATAACACTAAACATGAAAAAAAAAAAAAAATCCATAAAAGTTTTAGAAAAAATCAGGGGTAAAAATTCAAGACCTTGTTTTTGACAGTTAATTCTTATATATGACATCAAAAGCACAAGTAACAAAGGAAAATGCAACATATAAATTTAACATCATCAAAAGTGAAGAGACAATTTGCAGAATGGGAGAAAATACTTGGGACCACATATCTAATAAGGGCTTAATAAAGAACTACTGTAACTCAAAACAAAAAGACAGAGAACCCCATTTTAAAAATGGAAAACATTTGAATATGCATTCCTCCAATAAAGAGATACAAATAACTAAGAAGCAAATGAATAGATGTTCAACATCATTAGTCTTTGTTTCTGCTGTTGTTTAGTGCCCTCAAATCAGTTTCAACTCATACTGAGCCTGTTTAGGATTTTTGAGGCTGTAAATCTTAGTGGGAGGAGAACATCTCATGTTTATCCCTCTAAGCAGCTGGTGGGCTCGAACTGCCGACCTTGTGGTTTGAAGTCCTGTGCTTATCTTACAGAGCAGTGCTAGTTCTTGGTAAAATAACACTTTTTAATAAAATGGAAATATGCCTGTTTTCCCAGCCATTGTACCTTTATTTATAGTAATTAATTAATCTGACATTGGGCAGAAAGGGAAGAGTCTGGTCTTGGGTCTGTATTAGCTCAGTAAGAAAGCCAGCATCAATACAAGTAACCACTCATGTACTTAGGCTGAGCTCACTTTGACACATCTAAGTAGACAGATGGAGACTTCAGAGAACAATACATAATGAATTTAACCTCATCCACCACACACTTACCACGGCAGTTCTTGGCAGTCACAGCGTCCCCATAGAACCCATCAGCGCAGCGTTCACAGTGGGCTCCTGCAGTGTTCCCAATGCACTTGAGGCACTCCCCAGTGACTGAGTCACAGTGTCCAGTCTCCAAGGGGTCCACATTGCCGCTGCAATTGCATGGAACGCAGGATTCTCCAGGGACTGTTGGATTTCCATAGTAACCGTCTGCGCATCTATATAATAGATTGAAAGTAGCATCCAAATAAAAGTAATTATTCAAAAATTACCACACCATCTAGAGATCCTTTGAATGGTTAATAAATCAGACTGACTGTTTTACTAAAGGTTTACTGTGGAAAGAATGCAACCCCAAGTTCAGGCATTCACAGATTTTTCTCCACCTATTTTGAGGACAAGGGAATGCGTCCCAAACCAGGCATCAATAGATGTGAATGGGCACCATCTCCAGGGTCAGTTCCGCCCTGCTCAACCCTGAATAGTTTCACACACTCTCTAGACGGCTTTTGACAGAGCTTGTACTGAGAACTTCATGTGGGAAAAGATGGCATTGGCTTGCAAATTTGAGAAGGAAACTATTCAATCAAATCATCTATCACATGTGGAATTAGCCAGAGTGATACAGTATTCACAGGTGTGAAAACTTGAGTGCTTCATATTGCTTCATATTGCTCTTGATGAGAACTCTAATAATCTCACAAAGTTACAAGACTGCTGTTAAAAAATTCCCAGGAAGTTTGAAAATTAATTTAAAAAATGATATGCTTGTCTTTCACTACAATTACATGAAATACTAATTACAAGCTAAAAATCACATGTAAAAACATACTGAACTGCACATTAAAAAACAAACGCATGCCATTTATATTTAAGTTAAAACCTTAATGCATCTTTCAAAAACAGCTGAGTGAAGCAGAGTACCTCTCGCACCAAGCTCCTGTGTATCCTGGGGCACAGTGGTCACAGCGCACTTCATCCCCATCATCTATGTGGCAGGTAGGACTGAAACTGTCAAACAGTAGAGAAAACACAATTTGCCCCTGTCCTTGTGTGAGCAGTCCAGCCTATCTAAACATGGAAAATGCTGAGTGTCCACCACTCTGTCCTCCTGGATTTCCCTGCATCCTGGCCTCTTCTCCTAGAGCCCAAGTCTTCCTGGCCCCTCCTACCTGGAGGACTCATTCCTGTCACATGAGTCTGTGTGACAGGCGCTCAATGCTCCCTATTCCAACTCCTGGAGAAGTGACTGCTAAGCTAGGCACTGGGGACAAGCCTGGTCAAGGCAGGCCATGAGGGCAGCAGGTCACTCTGGCCTGAGGGACAGGCAGAGTCAGAGTTGGGGTATGGGGCAGAGCAGTGATTCACTTTCTTCTGGGTTCCATTCACACCTCACATAACATAGTGGTCTCCATACCTCAGAGTACTGTTCTGCACAGGAGTGAACTCACATCACATAACTATTGTTCATGGTCCCCTGTACCAGGGTACTCTACATTCTACCAGGTGCTCACTGCTGCCTGTCAGACTCTGGTCCCGGTCAGACTCTGTCCGAGTGTTGGGGAGACCTGTGAGGGAGGTGTGGGCCAGTTCAGAGTTAACACGGCTTCATCAAGAGTGTCCCAACTGCATCTATTGTAACTACGGAGGCTTCATGGAGGGTGTGGGCAGAGGTCAAATAGCATGAGTTAGAAAGAGGTCTCTCAGCTCTGACCTACAAGACGTCTGTCCAAGTGGTAGAGCACCCCTTACCCTACAACATCACCTTCCACTTCTCCTGCTGTACCCCCAGGGTTAGGGGCAGTTCCTCACACAGTTGTGTTCTTTTTGCTGTCGTACCTTGTTGCACTCAAACCCTCTGTCTAGAATGTCCTTCTCTGCTTACCTGTCAAACTTCTCCTCCAAGTCTCAGACCAGGAGCATCCTGGCTGATTTGGCACTGCCTTCCCTGTACCCACTATGGTGATGGCCACAATGTAATGTCCTTGGGATCCGCATCTACACACAGAGCTTTTTGCTCAGAGCACCTACCATGATTCAGGTCTGCTACACAACAGGCACTCAGTAAACACTTGCTGAATCAATGAATCAATCACCCCATTCTCATTGACCTCAGATGCATATGTATGGTCATTAGATCAAAAGTCTCTTAAGCCAGAGGATATGTTTTATTCACCTCTGTACCCCTTACACCTCCTGGCCCAACAGCAGGCATGCAATTTGCATGTGTGAATGATTCAATGACCAACATTAGATCAGGAAGAAAACTTACCCAGTTATCTTTGTTACTATGTAACTTTGTTTGAATATTTTACTACAGAAACTTGTTTTTTAAAGAGAATTCATCCCCAACCCTGCCATCACCATCCATACTCCTAATTAACATTGAACAAAATTTCATACTCTTATTATATTTAAATCTTTGCTATAAAGATACTGGTATTCATCTTGGTAGAAATACTGAGTGGGGATGGGGGAGGTCTTTATTTCTTGGGTAGAATGAGAACTCCTGATCACACTGGGTAGGGTCAGCTCTGGTGCTATGAGGCATACTTGTTGGAGGCTGTGGAGAGAGGGCAGGCACAGGGTTGGCAGTCTCCAGGGGTTCCTTGGGATGGCACCCCGTAGAAGCCGGGAAGGCATTGCTCACAGTGGTCCCCGGTGGTATTATGCATACAAGCCTAGGGCACACAAAAAAGAGATTCGGCTTAGGTTTCTTCAAGTGGTTTGACTTGTTGACAGATAATGTGAAATCCAAGTGAAAAAAAAAAAAAAAGACAAAACACTAAAACACATCACCAAACTCTCAGTTACAAGAGGAAGAGGGCTCCACTTTCAGATTAACTAATAAAAGGAAACTGTGTAAATGGGAAAGGAGGAATTGGAACCAGACTTGCCCTCAAAAATGACTAAACATTAGAATAAAACACACAAAACAACTGCTTTCAGACCTTGGACAACCTTGTCTCTTCTCCTAGAACCCAAGGGAGACAGGTGAGGTGCTCCACCAACCAGCCCCATGGCTTTCTGCCTGGAGACAGATAGCAGCACATGCCTGACTCAGTCCTGGAGACAAAGCTGACAGCAATGAGAGGCTGAATAGCTGGAATATGGCGAGAGCTTCAGAAACCTGCTTACGGCGCTCCTTTAAAGAGTTAATGATGACTAAGCTGCTTAGACCTGGTGTCACACTGATTAAGTACTCTGCTGCCAACCAAAAAGTTGGTAGTGTGAGCCTACCCATGGTTCTGAGGGACTAAAACCTGACAATCTGCTCCTGTAAACATTAGTGCCTTGACACAGCAGTTCTACTCTACAGGCGTTGGACCCAGCTTGATAGCACACAACAACTAAATCGCTCATGTGCAGAGTGAAACTCCATGAGGTCGGAACACAATAGATTACCCACTAAGCAAGGTAAGCACTACTTAGGGGCACCAGGGCCCAAAGCAAAGACCCACAGATGTCAAGCAGTGAGAAGCCAGAACCACAGTGGAAGGGCAAGGCACTAACTGAACCTGATCCCAGCAATTACAGTGCATGAGAATGTGCTCATCGGACAGAGTTCACACAGGGTCACAATGGTGAGCTCACACAAGGTTGTATAAGTTAGGAGGTGCCTACCACTTCAATGGAGTCCTGGGGTTGCGCTGTGGGTTAACACACTAGACGGCAAAGTTGGTTTGAACCACAAGGTTGGCGGTTCAAGCTCAACAGCTGCTCCTTGGAAACCCTATACAGAGTCGCTAAGGGTTGGAACCAACTCAGCAGCACTTAACAACTACAAACCACTTTGATTCCTTCCTTGACATCTGTCTCTTTCTTTTAAATGAATAGAACTGTTCAAATGTGTAAGTGGAAGAGGGGCCCTCGTGCTTTTATCCAGCTCTGGGCCTAGTGAAGAAATATGTTGTTGTTAGGTGCCATCAAGCTGGAACCGACTCATAGCGACCCTATGCACAGCAGAATGAAACAATGTCCGATCCTGGGCCAACCTCACTACTGTTGCCACACTTGAGTCCATCAATGCTGCCACCTCATTGGTGGTCTTGCTCTTTTTCTCTGACCCTCCATCTTACCAAGCATGATATCCTTCTCCAGCAACTCTTCCCTCCTGACAATATGTCAAAAGTATGAGAGACGAAGTTTGGCCATCTTGGCCTCTAAGGAGCACTCTGGCTGCACTTCTTCCAAAACAGATCTATTGGTTCTTTTGGCAGCCCATGGCACTTTTAGTATTCTCCTCCAACACCATAATTCAAAGGCATCAATTATTCTATGCTCTTCCTTATTCACTGTCCAGCTTTTGCATGCATATGAGGTTACTGAAAATACTATGGCTTGGGTCAGGCACACCTTAGTCCTCAAGCTGACATTTTTGCTCTTTAACACTTTAAAAAGGTCTTGTGCAGCAGATTTGCCTAATTCAATACGTCATCTGATCTCTTGACTGCTGCTTCCGTGAGTGTTGATAGTTGATCCAAGAAGAATGAAGTCCTTGACAACTTCAATCTTTTCACCATTGATAAGAATGTTGTTTATTGGTCCAGTGGTGAGGATTTTTGTTTTCTTGAAATTCACATGTAATCCATACCGAAGGCTGTGCTCTTTGATCTTCATCAGTAAATGTTTTAAGTCCTCTTCAGTTTCAGCAAGCAAGGTTGTATCATCTGCATACCGCAGGTTGTTAATGAGTCTTCCTCCAATCCTGACAAATGGTTCCATAGAACCCAGCTTCTCATATTAAAACCAGTTTTGACATAAAACCAAATGGCCTCCACTCGTCTGTCTGTCGTGCTGTGGTAGCTTGAGTTGCTGTGATTCTGAGGGTTATGCCACCAGTACTTTAAATAACCAGCAGGGTCACCCATGGTGGACAGGTTTCAGATGAGCTTTCAGACAAAGACAGACTAGTAAGAAAGAGTGACGAACTACTTCCGAATTGTTAGTCACTGAAAGCCTTATGAATAGCAGAGAAAGAAATATGAGTGTTATAAATTGTGAGTGAGATGTAAAATAAAAAATTCAGAATTCATAAAGCTGAGAGTGGTTTGAATTCCAACCAGTCAGCAGGGAAAGGTCTTATTGAAGACCCAGAGTATTCAATAGAGACTGCTGAAGGACGACTCCTAAGTAGTAGGATGAACCAGGCATAGAAAAAAGACTGTAGCAGAACTGCTTTCTAAAATTAAAAACAAACTTTGAAACAATCAAGCTGACTTGATTAGTAATAGTTAGTAATAGTAATGGCATGCCAAAACAGACTTCCATATTCTTTAAAGGAAAGTAACAAAATCCAAGAATATAATAAGGTAGCAACCACATATTTACCATCCAGATGCTACTAAATATGCTCTGACTAGCCAAATCATGGGAAATTTTCACAGTCATAAATCCAGACAGATAATGAATTGATAAGTAAATACGCATACGGGAAGAGAGAGTAAGTGTTCCTGTTGACAGTACAATGCCAATGTCACCTGATGAATATGGAGGAAGTGCTAGAGTTGAACAATCATTCCTTTAAAATTACCATAGTAAATAATGGGCTCAGGCAAGCATCATAAATGACTGCTAATGTGGGTTAATGCGCCAGACTGCAAAGCCATTTGAACTGCAATGTTGGCGGTTCAAGCTCACCAGCATCTCCTTGGAAACCCTATACAGGGTTGCTATGTGTCAGAATCGACTTGACGGCACTTAACAACAACAACAATGGTGCTGTGGTAGCGTAGTGGTTACAAATCGGGCTGCTAACCTCAAGGTCGGCAGTTCGAAACTGCCAGCTGTTCTGTGGGAGAAAGATGAGGCTTTCTGTTCCCGTAAAGATTTACAGCCTGGGAAACCCTGTGCAGAGTCGCTATGAGTCAAAACCGACTCCATGGTACTTAATTAACAACAATAATGGTGCTGTAGGATAAACATTGGACCACAAAGTCAGTTTGAACTGCAAGGATGGCAGTTCAAACCCACCAGTCGCTCCCTGTGAACCCTACACAGGGTCGCTATGGCACTTAACAACAACAACAAATCAAAGGAAAATTTTTATAAGGAACTGAATAATTGCATGGTCTTAAAGAGTCTCCCTGAGACTGCTTATTAATTACTATATATATATATAT